AAATGGCTGTGTCAAAAGGGTAATTTATAAAACCATTGCGGTATTATGGGCCTATTAGGAAACATACTTTTCGATATCGCTCATGAGCGTAGCAATTTCTTGTCAGTTCTTCAGAAAGGAGTAATAGATTGTTTTACATCTTCCCCGCAGTCATTGCAGTTTGACAGACACGTGTAAGCCAGCATATGTCTTGTTCGCCTAATGCCTTGGTGGTTTCAGGGCGAATTTCATCAGTTCCAGTAGCCTTTCCATTTTTCAAGCTTTTCACAACTTGTGTCATTTCATCTAAGAGGCAGTAATATCAGTTCCCTATTGCTCTACAGGCGAGTCTTCCTGTGGTTGTTCGGTGTTAATGAGTTCCTCAAAGTACTCTATTCTTTTAGTAGTTGTTTGTTTTACTTTGAATTTTATACCTAATCGTAATTCGTTATTGGCTGCATTCTTTTGAATATCATAGCCATTCTATTTTTCATTTAGATACCTGCCCAATTACAGTTCTGATCCATACTGTGAAGATGGATGTATATGGTCGTTCAATTACTTCTTTTACAACCGAAAGCTGAAGCGTGTTCTCTTTTTCTCTTGCAGGGCATTCAAGTAATATTTTTAATCCATAGCAGAGAGTTAAACAGCTAGATAGAATGCAAGTGAGGGAAAATGCTCAGTGCGTTTTCTTTTTCTTCAGTAATGTACATCTTTTGCGGCGCTCTCCGTTCGTGGCGGTTGTAGTACGGTACAGCTGTAAGTTTCTCAGTTTCCTGCCTCAGATGAGCGTCAGATTTGACAGATGAGTTTACGACCGAATCGTAACTGCTGACAAGCTCTTTCGGTCGACAGCGCAAGTCGGCTGACGGAAGTACTTTCAACCCAGTGTGGTTGCTTGTGCTGGTATTTTGCTTTCTGCGCCAACTACTGTTGGACTAAAGCTGCCAGTGTTGGATATAGAGCTATACTAAACGATACCATGGTATCAGTCTCGTCGTTCCGTTCCTAGAGCGGCCCTCTCAAGCCCTGTGAACAGTGAACATTGTTTGCTGTTCTGTGGTCATAAAGGGAAAGGTTTAAAAGTTAACCCTCTCAAATCTGCGTACAATGCATTTCAGCAACTTTGACGAACAAGCCTCGAGACAGTTCAGTTGAAAGAATTTCGTTTTGCGCTGGCATTTCGCCAATGGTCCGCATAACCACTTGCACACTATGGATTCATTCCAATGTGGCATAATCAGGTGTCTACGATGGACGCAGAATGCAGTGAATTCGTATTTTTCACAAAGCCAAACGTATTCTAATTGTTCACAGATGCAAAGGAGCAGCGTTCTCAAACCCTGCACATTCCTAAACCTATTGTTCCTGGCGAAAGTGTTCTGGCCAGTTTTGGCAGAGAGCTGGGTGATTTGCATGAGACAACTGTCGAAGATATGTTTCCGTTTATGCGTATGTAATATGGCTGAGATTGATTTCTACTAATGGAAATAGTTGTTTTGTGCTTACAACCGCTAGTTACTTGTTCGATGAGCGCTTGGCATTAGAATTTTTAGAATCTGTGCCATTACGATGTCTGGTCATAGTTGGCTGGTGCTTTTTCCTGAAATTCTGATTTGTTTCTTTGTTACCTTACAGATTTTGTGTGATTTTAGTCCGCTTGATTATGATCCATCGGACGACTCCTCGCTGCAGTGGATGATGGACTTGCGTGAATAAATTTCGGCATCGTGACGAAAAAGACGATTGTTTTTTATAGTCGATCGCTTTTTCGTACAACAAAAGCAGTTGTACGATCTGTAATATATTTGTATTGCGCATATCATTCCTTTTTGGTTTTCTGATAGCGTCGTTTCATGTTGATTCGTTAGTATTTACTGGCTGGCCAGAATGTTTTACCCTTCAGCTTTGTTTAACATTGTTTTGATTTTTGTCGTTTGTTTGAGTGGTGCAGTGCATTTTGTTCTTTATATAAGGCGTTCGCTGAAAAGTTTCGTGAAATCGGTCGTCGATAATTCGATATCCATTTTCAGGTCCGACTTAGGAAGCTGTCACGTGTCGTTCTATTTAAATTTGTTCATGCTGATTTTAAAACTGTATCATAGTTTGTTTTGGTTTTTTGTTGTATGAGCAGTAAATTTTTAATCAGAAAAAGCAAGTGTTATTTTATTTTCGTTAGAAGCTTTCCAGTCCCTGATAGTTTGAAATACTAGCAAGTGAAACTAAAATCTCACTGCCCGTAAATGTTACGTTTGTCTGTGTATTGGTATAATCCTGAGTTCCGCTCATATTTTTTACGAAATTGTTCCGCATATATTTTTTTCTGAGTTGATTACTATTGCTCGTATGTCAAACTCGCCTCGCCCTGCTTTTACTTTTGCACTGCTCTAAAAGTAACGATAGTGGACTTTTCAAGGAATGTTTTAGGTCTCGCTGCTCTGGTATACTTTAGGGACTCGGCTTGGTGTGGCCCAGTGCCAGGTGATCAGTGTACTCCAACCATCTCGCCTTTGTCACATGACCTGTAGCCGCTTTTCGAAGAGATTGACATAGCGGTTGTCTTCTGATAATTTGGCCATCCCATAGCAATTATAATCTCACGGACTGAAAAAGGAGCACTTTATGGTGATGATGTTTCAGATCTCATGTTCCAGTTTTTTCGAATCTCCGAAAAGCAGCAGTTTTTCGAAGGAACCTCACTTTTGCTCTTTGGATATATGATTGTGCCCGCTCAAACAATGTTAGACACTTATTGTT